AGAGCTGATCTGTGCTGGTCGCTGAGGGAATACATCAACTTTCACCGTGGACGAAGCGGAATCCAGCCCGGGGGTCGTCACATGTGGTTGCCACTCATTCGTTGGATCCGCCGGGCGCGCCGTTCTGGACCCTGCCGCCTCAGCTCACTCTAGCCTGGCCTCAGCGCACGCTAAGCCGCTGTGTGTTTCGTTGTGAAAGCGAAACTACTTTGTTTGGTCTTCCAAAAGAGAACACGACTACAAATCAGTGGTTAAGTTAATGTTCTTTTTAGCAGCATCATATGACCCCTTTAAATATGAACGTGTGTAATTTCAGTGAGATCCACGCTGCAGAGTCTGTATCATGTCTGAACAAGGCTCTCAATGAGCTGAAGGACATCTGGGAGGAGATAGGGATCCCGGAAGACCAGAGGCTGCAGCGCACCGACGCCGTTCACATGCACATCAAGGTCAGTTCAGGTCATCTGCGTTTCTCATTGACTGGAGAATGGAGACACCGGTTCAAGGTGAAATCTTTGCGATTGCAGAAACTGCTGGACATGATGATCGCAGAGGAGGAGTGCTTGAAGAAACGCTTGCTGAGTAGTATCGAAACATGCAGAAAAGAGGTGGCCAGCCTGTGTAATGAACTTCAGGTGCAGGAGTATCAGGTGAGTCACTCTGATCCAAGTCATTTTTGGATAACGGCATAGTAACAGCCTGTGCACTCTAACTTCTGGATGTTTTGTAAAGCCGGCCAATCAGATTGGAGATTTTGTGTGCTTGGCAGGAGGAAGACGGTCTTACGATGCTGCAGTTGGAGAAGGATCTCCGTACACAGGTCAAAATGATGCTAAAAGAGAAAAGTGCTCGTCAGAGCGAGCTGAAATCTCTGATTCAGCATGATCAAGATCTGTGTGACATCCTGTGTGATGACCTCTTCCCCATCCATGCCGAACGAGTGCCGTCACAACAGCAGCTGCAGAACTACAGACAACACATCAACACCCGCAACCAGGAGAAGGTAAAACACACTTGCAGAGCTGTCTGTTTTTTTTTGTCTTTTGTTTTTTAGTATGTGAAATAGTATTGACATACTAAGTTGACTATATTGGAAATGTATGCGGTTTTTACATTTTCCAGTAATTCAATAATCAAGTCATATTAAAGTCACAGTTTATATATACATTACCGGTCAAAAGTTTGGAATAATTAATACAGTTTTCTGTTGTAATTATCATGTCATTACTCCAGTCTTCAGTGTCACATGATCCTTCAGAAATCATTCTAATATGCTGATTTGCTGCTCAAGAATTTTTCTTATTCCCAATGTTGAAAACAGTTGTGCTGCCTAATTTCTTTTTCTTTTTTTTTAAACCGTGATAGACCACAATTCAAATGTTTTGGAAAAGTTTGGAATAATTAATACAGTTTTCTGTTGTAAGTATCATGTCATTACTCCAGTCTTCAGTGTCACATGATCCCTCAGAAATCATTCTAATATGCTGATTTGCTGCTCAAGAATTTTTCTTATTCCCAATGTTGAAAACAGTTGTGCTGCCTAATTTCTTTTTCTTTTTTTTTAAACCGTGATAGACCACAATTCAAATGTTTTGGTAAATTAAGATTTAAAAATTGAGCTTTCTATTCATCAAAGACTTATGAAAAGAATTACTTAACAGTAAAAACTGTTAAGCTGAGCACCAATAATTGAGCTACAAATCAGCATATTAGAGTGATTTCTGAAGGATCATGTGACACTGAAGACTGGAGTAATCACAGAAATTAATTACATTTTAAAATAGAAAACTGTTATTTTAAATTGTAACAATATTTCACAGTATTACTGTTTTATTGTATTTTTGATCAAATAAATGCAGTATTGCTGAGCATGAGACTTTTTTCAAAAGCATTAATAAATCTTAATTGTTCCAGAGTTTTGACAACTGGTATATCCTGCATTCTTAAATGAATAGTGTGGTAGTTTGCTTCTCTGCATATGAAAGTATATCCAGATTGGTTACAGGAAGTGTGCTTGTGTGTGTTCACAGGAGCGTCGTCATGCCGAGTTTGTGGAAATGAAGCGTCAGATCACAGTGTTGATGGAGGATTTGGAACAGCATCCTGACACCTCCTTTGAGAAAGACGCTGTGTGTGAAGATGAAGACGCTTTCTGCCTTTCTGTGGAAAACCTCAGCTCACTGAAAGTGTTACTGCACCAGGTACACACACTTCACACAGTTCTTTTTAGCTGTTGGTTGTAACCCAAATGCTGTCAACTAAAATGAGAAGCAAAGCTGGAGGATCTTGGACACCTTAAACCATTAAATTGAAATGAGCCCTTTCACAGTATGATTTATTTACTTACATATTTATTAAGCAAGCATGCATTAAATTGATTAAAAGTAACAGCCATTTATAATGTTCCAAAAAAACTCTAATTAAAATAAATGCTGTTTTTTCGAACTCTGTTCAATCCTGAAATAATGTATCATGATTTCCAAAAATAATAAGCAGCGCAGTTGTTTTAAAAAGAAGAAAAAATGAAGAAGAAGAAGAAATGTTTCTTCAGCACCAAATCAGTATATTAGAATGATTTCTGAAGGATCATGTGACACTGAAGACTGAAAATTCAGCTTTGCGTCATGGTATCATTATACCAACAATAATTTTTGATGTCAGTGTTTTGTTTTTCCGCAGGTGAAATGTCACTAGCTAATGGTGTGTGTGTTGTATTTCAGCTGGACAGCCGTAAAGCTGAAAGTGAAGCACTGTGTGTGTCCATCCGTGGTCGTATTGCGGAGCTGTGGGAGATGTTGCAGATTCCTGAGGAAGAAAGAGAGAGAGAGAGTCTCATGCAGAACACCCACACTAGCACAAAGAGCAGATTGAATGCAGTAAGTACACTCACCTGCCACTAAAGTAGGTCATGTTGTTTCTGCTGGAATTATAAACCATTCCTCATGCTGTCTTTCTCACTGTGTCACAGCTGCAGGCAGCGCTTCAGCGATTGGAGGAGCTGAAAAAGAAAAGCATTGAGCGTGTTATTCACACAATCCGATCGGAGATTGTCAAGTTTTGGGAGAAATGTTATTACAGCCCGGAGCAGAGACAAGCCTTCACTCCCTACCACAGTGGTATGCTAACGGCTAGTTTCTTGGCTAAATCCCAATTCGCATACTTCAGAGTACAAAAAGTACCAACTGTGCTGGTGGTGGGAAAGTACAGAAAACTTGACTTTAGAATGTAGTTATTGAAGGTGTTATTAAAGGAATAGTTCACCAAAAAAGGGATATTTGCTGAAAATGTACTCGCCCTCAGGCTATCCAAGATGTAGATGAGTTTGTTGCTTCATCAGAATAGTTTTGGAGAAATGTGTGAAATTTGGAGAAACCAATGGATCCTCTGCAGTGAATGGGTGCCGTCGGAGTCCAAACAGCTGATAAAACATCACAAGTAATCCACACCACTCCAGTCCATCAGTGAACATCTTGTGACGTGAAAAGCTGCATGTTTGTAGGAGACAAATTCATCATTAAGGCATTTTAACTTGAAACTGTCGCTTCTGGACAAAAAATATGAGTCCATAATGCATAATACCCTTCCTCCAGTGAAAAAGTCCATCCCCTGTTGTCTTCTCACATCAAAATCTGACATGTTTTTTTAGAGCTATTTTGGACACGTTTTACTTGTGTACTTGGCATGATCTGTGCATATTTGTCTTCTGATTGAGACAAGACAACTTTTTCACTGGAGGAAGCAATATTATAAATGGAGGACTTGTATTTTAGCCAGAAACAACAGTTTAAAGTTAAAGAATGTCTTGATGGATTTGTTTGTTACAAACACAGCTTTTCACTTCACAAGATGTTCATTGATGGACTGGAGTGGTGTGGATTATTGTGATGTTTATCAGTTGTTTGGGCTCATTCTGAGGGCACCCATTCACTGCAGAGGATCCATTGGTGAGCAAGTGATGGAATGCTACATTTCTCCAAACCTGATGAACCTTGGATGGCCTGAAGGTGAATATCTTTTAAGCAATTTTTCATAATTGGGTAAACTATTCCTTTAAAATTTAATGTTGATACTGCATTGTATTCATGCATACAGTTCTGTAGCAAAAGGGTTTGTGGATAATATCAGCCCAAAAAACATGGATGCATGCTTCAAAAATCCAGAAATAGTATGCAGTTTGTGCATCTAGACAATGAGACCTAATCTTAATCTAGCATATTGATTAAATTAGTAGAGGTTTTATGCAACTTGGAATTGAGCGATAGTGTTTAAAATGCGTTAGGTACACAGATTTGTACAGTACAGTAGATTTGTTGACGTTTGATTTTATTTTGTGCTGTTAGATGATCTGGATGAGGAGGTGTTGCGTGAACATGAGCTGGAGTTGGAACGACTGAAGCAGGATTATGCCGAGCACAGCGAGCTGTATGACGCCATTTCCACCTGGAGCAGCAACTGGACTCTTTATCAGGAACTGGAGGTGTTAAATCATAGGAGATCAGCTGAAAAGATTCAAAACAAACATATTACAGTTTTGTTTTTTTACTTGCTTAGACTCTAAAAGTGGTACTTGAGGCCCACTCAGTGAAACCATCCACTCATACACCTAATCTTTAGTCCAGGTTTGCAAAACTACAAGCACATTACTTGCTTTAAACTCAGATTGCTATTGTCAAACAAACTTTTAGCAAACCTCTAAACACAGTTCTTTACATTACACACATCATTCAAAACTAACAGCTCTTTTGTTTCATTTGGGAAACACTGCCATTTAAATGCCACACTCATTTACTGATGACCTACACCCAGAGATCATGTGTTGAAAACACTTAGACATCATTTGTTATGCATGACAAACTCCTGTGCACTCCACTGCACTCTGAACAAGAAAAAGACACACGAGAGTAGTGTTTTACATTCTTCACATCTGTGTAGTCATGTGGCTATCTGTATGAGTCTAATTATTTTATGTTTGTGTGTAGAGTTACTATGCAAAAATATCATTTTTAGAAAAGTTAAAATAGTTTTGACTTTTGAATGAAGTGTTTGCTTTTGGAAGAGATGTGTGATGTTTTGTGTGTAGAGTTTTGAGAAATGGAGCCATGGTTTCAAAACCTGTGTTTAAGCATTTTTTAAAAACTGTAAAGATGTTTGTGAAAATCAGTCTAATTATGGTTGGTCTTCTTTCTCCAGAAAAAAGCCACAGACCCCTCTCGCTTTAACAACAGAGGGGGAAACCTGCTGAAGGAGGAGAAACAGAGAGTCGACCTGCAGAAGAGTTTGCCGAAGGTTTGAGCCACTCTTTAAGCAAACTCTGAAGTTTGATTGACTGGAATGGCTTGTATGCTCATGTTTGTTTTGTCTTGATTGGCCAGCTGGAGAAGAGTCTGAAGGCTCAGATTGACCAATGGGAAGCGACGCACTGTAAAGAGTTTCATGGGAACGGGCAGCCGTTCCTGCAGTATGTGGAAGACCAGTGGAATCGACACCATATGGAGAAAGAGAGAGAAAAACAGGAACGGGTATGAACACTTTTTTTTTTTCTTGAAATTACTACTTCGGACTTAAATTTTATTTCGAATATTAGTTTCTGACATGAGGTTTGTACTGTGCAGCAAATGAAGAAAATTAAGCAGACGGAGGAAGATCTGCTGTACGGCACCATCATCAGAACCCCAACCAAGAGAAGACTCGCTGGAACCCCGACACCTGGAAAAGCACGCAAGGTACTCACTGCATATGTGTACTAACTGTCGACCAATATGATTTTACCAATGCCCTGATGCCAGTATCAATTGCAGGGATGCTAATACCAATAAAATAAATATGTAATCTATTGCAGTGTCATTTTATAATCATAGCAGATGTACACTACACTAAGGCCTGGTTTCACAGACAGGGTTTAGGTTAAGCCAGGATTAGGCCATAGTTCAATTAGGACATCTAAATATCTTTTATAAACATGCCTTAGAAAATAGCATTACTCGTGTGCATCTTGAGACAAAACAATGGCACGGACGTATTTTAAGATCAGTCAGTGCAAGTTTCTCTCAGTTAAAACAGCCCAGACATACATTTTAGGGCTTAAGTCTTGTCTGTTAAACCGGGAGTAAATGTACCCGAAATTGCTGTTTTGCATTTATACTTTTCTAAAAGAAAAAAAAGAAAAAAAAATTTATATACAGTTAATGTTATTATTACATAAACATATATTAAACAAAATTATATACATTCAAAAATGTATTTTTATTTATTTTTTTAGCTGACATCACGCATGTGTAGCTCCACCCCAAACACGACTCTCCGTTCCATATGCTCCTCCCCTTCTTTGAGACCGCCCCTTTCCTCCAGCAAGGTGAGTTATGCTGTTTAAACCTGTTATTATATATTAATTTATATTCTAATCATTAAAACTGTAAACGGCCTCTCTGCTAGTTGTGTGCACGGACACCTGCCCGTGGCCGAACCCCTCGTGGTCTGGAGAGGAACAAGGAGAATATCTCCCATCTGAGCGGAGCTTTGCACACGATGGCCGCCAGCCCTCAAATAAATTACTCCATTACATCCGTGGCCTCCTCCTACTCCGAGTTTGCGGTACGTTCATTGTCCTGCAGTCTAGACGCACAGGCAGCAGATGTAATCAAGTGACCCCCGTGTGCTTATTCTGCCTTCTGTTATAGAAGGACTCTGAATCCACTACAGCGTCCAGGTCTGTATATCGAAAACCATTCACTGAACACTTTTTTTTTTTCTTGAAATTACTACTTCGGACTTAAATTTTATTTCGAATATTAGTTTCTGACATGAGGTTTGTACTGTGCAGCAAATGAAGAAAATTAAGCAGACGGAGGAAGATCTGCTGTACGGCACCATCATCAGAACCCCAACCAAGAGAAGACTCGCTGGAACCCCGACACCTGGAAAAGCACGCAAGGTACTCACTGCATATGTGTACTAACTGTCGACCAATATGATTTTACCAATGCCCTGATGCCAGTATCAATTGCAGGGATGCTAATACCAATAAAATAAATATGTAATCTATTGCAGTGTCATTTTATAATCATAGCAGATGTACACTACACTAAGGCCTGGTTTCACAGACAGGGTTTAGGTTAAGCCAGGATTAGGCCATAGTTCAATTAGGACATCTAAATATCTTTTATAAACATGCCTTAGAAAATAGCATTACTCGTGTGCATCTTGAGACAAAACAATGGCACGGACGTATTTTAAGATCAGTCAGTGCAAGTTTCTCTCAGTTAAAACAGCCCAGACATACATTTTAGGGCTTAAGTCTTGTCTGTTAAACCGGGAGTAAATGTACCCGAAATTGCTGTTTTGCATTTATACTTTTCTAAAAGAAAAAAAAGAAAAAAAAATTTATATACAGTTAATGTTATTATTACATAAACATATATTAAACAAAATTATATACATTCAAAAATGTATTTTTATTTATTTTTTTAGCTGACATCACGCATGTGTAGCTCCACCCCAAACACGACTCTCCGTTCCATATGCTCCTCCCCTTCTTTGAGACCGCCCCTTTCCTCCAGCAAGGTGAGTTATGCTGTTTAAACCTGTTATTATATATTAATTTATATTCTAATCATTAAAACTGTAAACGGCCTCTCTGCTAGTTGTGTGCACGGACACCTGCCCGTGGCCGAACCCCTCGTGGTCTGGAGAGGAACAAGGAGAATATCTCCCATCTGAGCGGAGCTTTGCACACGATGGCCGCCAGCCCTCAAATAAATTACTCCATTACATCCGTGGCCTCCTCCTACTCCGAGTTTGCGGTACGTTCATTGTCCTGCAGTCTAGACGCACAGGCAGCAGATGTAATCAAGTGACCCCCGTGTGCTTATTCTGCCTTCTGTTATAGAAGGACTCTGAATCCACTGCAGCGTCCAGGTCTGTATATCTAAAAATGTTCACTGTCCATCACACTAACACACACTCTTCTCGTCTAACCCGACTAACGGAGGAGGGTCTGTGTTTGTGTGTGCGTGCGCTTTCAGCTTCTAACAGTGAAATGAGCACTTGGAGACAGAAACACAACAACTAAAATACAATCTGCTGTTTTTAAAGACCCTATGAAATCATAATTGGAGGTGTGTGACATTAAAAAGTGGTGAAATGGCAAACTGACGGTTGTCAGATTATTTCAATGGGGCTTTAATGATATGAAATTAGTTTTTCTGTCAGTATTGGTCTCCTGGATCCACAGATTAGCTGGGCAGAATGGTGAATTATTTATCTGCTGTAAACAAGCTATCACTGATGTTCCTTCAACTATTTAAGCTTAGAGAAAAGATGAACCTTGCAGAGGGGTTTAGTTCACGCGAAAATGAAAACTGTCCCTCAAGGTGTTCCAAACTGAACACCTGCTGGTAGCCATTGACTTCCAAAGTATTTTTTTCCCCATACTATTTAAGTCAGTGGCTACCAGCAACATTCTTCAAGATATCTTATGTGTTCAACAGAAGAAAGAAATTCATATAGGTTTGGAATAGGGCTGTGCAATATATCGAAATTATCGAAATATCGCAAATGTACATATCGCAATATGCATATCGCTACGGCTTGCAATATTTGGGGCCAAGAACAAAAGACAAAGAGAAAATCACTCACTGCTCTTAGCTAAATAACTTTTGTAGCTTAAGTAAGAATCAGTGCATATTGAATTCATAGAGTAAATGTTAAAATGACATTTTTATGTAATGAGCACACGCAAGCGCTCATGATCTCGTGTTTATGAGCGCTCCTATTTCACGTGCATATTCTGCAAGTGTCGCGAGTCTATCCTGTATTATGACTATCTGCACATTATCTCATACAGTAATTTATTAGTATTTGATGTATTTCAGACACATGCGCTGCAGAATTATTGTCATGCGTTTTCTGCTTGTTGGTTTTGGTTCGATATGGAAGTGCTGATGCAGTGCGCGTGCCCGCGGCTCGGGTGGTTGTCATGGTGATCGTGATGGACCCTCCTCTGATGATGGAGGGGGGGCATTAATTTAACACCCAGGGGTCACATAAAACACTGCGGCCCCCCGTACAACAGCCGAGGAATTGTGTTAGTTTTATGTGTATTTTGGGAGTTTGTGTGCACTTTTTTTGTTGCGAGTCGGTTTTGTGTGTGTGATGGGTTGTGTGTGTTGTTTTGGTTGGGTTGTGACACAAAAACCCTCCCGTGTGTGTGTGTGTGTGTGTGTGTGTGTGTGTGTGTGTGTGTGTTGTGTGTTTGCGCGGCGGTTGGTCTTTCTCCAGAGAGGTTTCTTGCTCCTGCAGGCAGCATCTCTCGTCGCTTGTGTTTCAGTGGAAATGTTATTACGAGTCATTCTGGAGATTAAACGCACGCTTGATTTATTAGCGTTCGCTCGCTTCAGTCCTGCGTGAGAGTAGCTGACAGTGCAGACTTGAGCCCCTCCGTCCGCTTCTGATCACGGCCACTATTTTCTCCGCTCTGAATGCAGCGCTGTCCGCTGGAAAACGATAATATCTGAATGATTATAGCGCCCCAGGACCGTTTAAAGCGTCTTGATCAGCTGCTCTGTCATGGGGATTCCAGCGCTTGTTGGTGGAGTGGCTTTTAGAAGAACATCTATTTGTTTTCGAGGTTTTTAGAATCAGATTCTTTTTCCAGTGTATTAACTTTGAGTTTAGGGTTTCATAGAAGATACAGATCTTTAAAGGGATATTTCACCGAAAATAAAATTGCCATTATTTTCTGTGAATTTCTTTTCTTCCATAGTACACAAAATGAGACTTTATGTAAAATGTCCTCTTTTTTCCATAAAAAAAGTGAATGGTTTAAACTGAAACTAAATGCTTATTTTAAATTGGTCTTTGGTTGTCACTAGTAATTATTATTTACCTATTAATTCTGTTTATTATATACTTATTCAAAAATTAATTTTCTTTAATTAGGCTAAAAATCAGGCTATATACACACACACACACATATATATTATTAAATTATATTAAATAATAAATAGGATTAAATAAAAATATAAATAGTATATAAATATAGTATAAATAATATAAATAATATTTAGTCATATTTAATAATAGTATTAAATAATAATATATAAATAAATTGGTGTTTTTTAAATAATTGAAGGCTGAAAAATGAATGACAATGAAGACCGAAAATTAAAATAAAAAATATTAATAAATACTATAATAGTATATAAACATTAAAATAACTGCATGAGGGTGAGTAAATAATGACAGAACTTTACATTTTTGACTGAACTACCCCTTTAAAACGTGTTTTTAAGTAAAACAAAAAATTCAAACACACACACATATATATATATATCTTGGCAACTAATTGAAATAAGATTAAGTTGAAGGATGAAAATAGGCTAAATAAAAAAATAAAACAAAAATAACACTTAAAAATGGCACTTAACAAAATAATTAAATCTTAAACTAAAATTAAAATGAAAACTACAAATATAAAAAAATAAATAAAGCTAATCAATAAAACGAATAATATTAAAATAAAGAATACTAAAATAACTGCACAAGGGTGAGTAAACAATGACAGAACTTTCATTTCTGGCTGAACTATCCCTTTAAAACTAGACCTTTATGTCTGTTGGATAAAGACTTTAACTTCTGCACAACCACTTCAATCTTATTTCACTAATGAGAATCCATCATTGCTTTTCTACATGACCTTAAAGGAAACAAACCAAAACCAACTGACGAAAGCAGGCTTGGGATTTCTGCTCCGTGATTCATTGTTTATCAAGATGACGGTTTACAGCTCACAAGTCATTGTGCCATTTGGGAAATTATTTTGGGATATTGGCTTCAGCGTCCAGACGGTATCACTGATCCAAGAGTGTGTGTGTGTCCATCTGTGCTCCTGTAGTCATTACAGACTGAGCATGGGCCGCTACACAGAGCTGCTGCTGATATTCCTGACAGCGCCTTCAACACATATTCATTTCACAGCAGACATGTGAAACCCATAATGCCCTGAACCAGCGCTCGTAACCCTGCGGGTGCAACTGTGAGTGCATCTCAGAAGCTTTAATTGGCCCGTTGTCATAATCTTCTACAGAAGTCTTCTCTCTGCTCCCGCTGCTTCCTTCATCTGATTACCCACAAGTCTCAGCGTGACTCACAGCATACACGCCTCTCACTTTCTCTCTCTCTTTAGACCTAACTACACTTTTTTCCTGTCTCAAGTGTCTTTCTCAGGTTTGAAAAATCGTATTGTTTATGACTTATAACAGTTTACCATGGTCACCATAGATTCTGGCAAAAATACCAACTGCAGTTCACTTCCTGTAATAAAAATGTGGTGACTTGTAATCAGTCACCACTGTCATCAAAAAAGAAACGAAAAAGAGAGAAAGATTATGAATGAGCTTATTATGCCAAAGTACCAATGTAATACTGTAACAATAATCAAACAAATTACTATCAATTTATAAATGAATATATATATATATATAATACCCAAGCTGGAGTCTGCAGACGGTCCACTAAAAATTTGAGAATTTTTTTTTGCAAAATGTATTTTAATAGTGAAAAATACAATTGTTATAATAAATGTCTAGATAGAGTTTAATAGAATAGGGTAGTATATAGTAGCAATATATATTATATACACTAATTTATATTAATGTTATTCTTAAATGTTAAATTAAATAATATTAAATATATAAATTAATAATATTAAATAAATATGATATAAAATAATTTACAACATCATACACCATGGCAGCACAACATTTTTACCATGTATTTATTTTTACCATGGTAATACCATAGTACTTTGCATATTTTCTGTGGTAATACTACATGTGCCATGAAAGTACCATGTTTTCTGGCCTTTTTTGCATGTTCTATGACGCTACCATGTTTTTACTGTGGTATTTTACGATATGTGCAACGGTAATACCATGGTATTCTTTTAAAAACCTTGGAGTATAGCGTACCATGAATATGTTTATAATTCAGAAGTACCATAGTATCACAGTCTTATCATCAAAGTCCATCACTTTACCATGGTACAACCACGGTATGTTATTTATAAGGGGCTGTTTGAAGTAGGTCATATACATTTATTGTGGTTTGTATTAACAGTAACTGTTGTAACAATGGTTAGTGTGGTAAATCTTTGAGGAAGTGTTTAAGAGTGTGTTGTGCTGTGTGTTTCAGGTGGCATTATGTCTTTGCAGGGTCAGGATATTTCTGAATATCATCTGAGCGGTGAGCAGTCATCCTTCATACACCTCTTGATTTCATATGCATCCCTCTAAGAGAGTTTCTGATTGTGTGTTTGTGTGTGTGTTTGTGTCAGTGGTGTTAAACCCACCTGGCTGGGAGGTGTGTTTGTTTGTGTTAGGGTTCCTGGTTCTGTTTGCTGTGGTTATAGTGAATCTGTGGAAATTATGTAAATCTGGCTCCTTCCCGACTCCATCTCCGTACCCAAACTTCCACTACCGGTACCTGCAGGAGAAATATGGCTCCTCCCACTCTGAGATCAGACAGAAGGTAATCAAACCACATTTCTGTAAGTAAGTTAAGCAGTGGTTTTCAAACTGGCATCTATAAGGGGTCCACAGAAAATTTGAGAAGCAGTAAAACATACAAATAAATGTATTTTTAATTTTAAATTATCATATTATAATAAAACATCTAGATAGAGTTTTGTGGGATATATATATATATATGTGTGTGTGTATATATATTTAAATCTTAAATAGGAATTATATTAACTTTAAACATATATAATAATGTATAATATATAGTAATATATAGACATTATAATATGAATTTATTATTATTAAAACCAGATATGTTAATTAAACCACTTTTTGTAATTAAGTTTAGCTGGGGTTTTCAAACTGGTGCAAGTTTTGGCTCATAAAATTAGAGGAAAAATATTTATTTTAACAGTTAGTTAAAATAAAACTATATATATGCATACACACATACATTATTTTAATATAATGACAAATAAATAAAATATAATCTTATCATTTAAATATTAAAAATTGTATTTATACAATATATATACAATTTACAATATATAAGTATTATAATCATTTC